CAGGCGGGACCCACCCGAGAAAGGAGAAGAAAAATGAAGAAAAAGTGGCTTTACATCTTTTACATCTTTTCCCACTGGAGCAAAAAAAACGTATTTACACCCCCGGAGGTGTAAAAGGAATGTAAAAGTGGCTTTACACCCCCGAATTTACACCCCCCCCACTGTGGATGCTCTAACGGAGTAGAGATTCTTACCTACCACTGTGGATATACATCCCCATGAGTCTAGAGTATCGATACATTTCTTATGTCTACCTTGTTTTTCTTGATTCATGAATTGTGATTCTTGAATCATGAACCCAAGACTTAAGACACATGATATGACATTGGGACCTAGGACCAGTGACTACAAACCACATACATGTAATAGCGTAGCACAATGGTTAGAAGGATGAGTTGGAACCAACTGTAAACTCATAGGTCAGATGTTCGAATCTTACTGTTGTTGTGCGAGTTCCTGTGGAGCCGGAAGTGTGTTGGGCTAGTAGTTTTGGTACGGCTTTTGTTCGAGTTAGTTTTGCTTTTAGTATGTTAGTTTGTTTCCCTCTTGAGATTGGTACTTTATGAAGGAAGTTGAGGTTCCACTCTAAAACCAATTGGCAATGGGGGGAGTAGTTCAACTCCTTATAAGTCATTGCTAGGTTTCTAAACTTTCTAATGTGGGACATTTTTCATTTCACATTCTCACACGCCCCCGCATGTGTGGCGAATTTTCAAGCCTAACACGTGGACAACACATTTTGGGTGACGTAAAGCACGTGTGGCTGTTGAGCTTTCATATGTGGACTAACCCGCTCTAATACCATGAAGGAAGTTGAGATTCCACCCATTGCCAATTGGTTTTGGGGTGGAACCTCAACTTCCCTCTAGGTAGCTAGAATTGAATTCTTGTATTCTTATCTAATTTCTGATATCTTTGTATAGGTGATAAGTTCTTATCATGTTATCATGTATTTTAGTTGTTATTTCCTACTCAAGTAGGATTTTTTGTAAGTTCTCTATTAAAGTCAATACACACGTACAACCTTAATCATTAATTGAGGCAAATCATAATCTATCTCTTTAGATGTCTTGTTGATGTATTTGATTGTACCGTTGAAGTTTCTCTTTGATGAAAATAAAAATAAATCACACTTTGCTTACCTTCTTGAAACTGGCTGCGTTACGCTGAGTGGCTAAATTTCAAGTAGTTTACTTATTTAATTGGTGGTTGTCTTTAGGCACTTTTTGTATTTTTTTTTTATAAAAAAATGTATAATTTGAAAAAAAAAGTAAATAATTTTTTTATTAGGACATATAACATAAGAAAATCGTACTTTATTTCATCATTTTATTTATTTATGATGACTTAATACAACATCATATGTGAAATATTACTTTATAAGCTAAACAACCACATTTTTTGTGTTTCCAAAAAAAAAAAAAAAACCCAATTTTGTTTTCCTTTGGGTCAAAACAAAGCCTAACAAGACCCAAACCAGGCCAATGAGACCCATAGGCTGAAGCCCATCATGTACCTCTAAAACCTCCCCGGCTCCCGCTCAATTCAAGCAAATCCCACCCTCCCCAAAACCCTCTCTCTCTCTCTCTCTCTCTCTCTCTCGCTCAAACCCAAATTCCAATTGAAGCAGACCAAAGCAAACCCCTTTTGGCGAAAATGAGAGAAGAAGAGATAGAAAAGCTTCGCGGGGTAGTGAGGGACTGCGTGACCAAGCACCTCTACTCCTCCGCCATATTCTTCGCTGATAAAGTCGCTGCCTTTACCAATGACCCTGCTGATATCTACATGCAGGCTCAGGCTCTCTTTCTCGGCCGCCATTATCGACGAGCCTACCACCTCCTCAATGCCTCCCAGATCGTTCTCCGTGACCTTCGATTTCGTTACCTCGCTGCAAAGTGCCTTGTAAGTCTCTTGCTGTTGAAATCAGGAAATGGGTTCTCTTTGTTTGCTGATTTAGTTCAATGTTTTTGCTTGTTATGGGGTTTCCATTTGTGGGTTGTGGGTTTCATAGTTGGGTTTTGTTTCACTTTGGTATGTGGTTGTAGAAGAAACGAAAAATGGATTTACCTCCCTCTTTTCAGCGCATTGTATCAGTAAAATAATCTCTCTTTTCAGTTCACCTCTCTCTCTCTCTCTCTCTTTCTCACACACACACGCGCACTCTCTCTCTCCACATGTTTTCTTTTTTCCTTTTCATTATCTTTTCGGACAGTTACGACAAATTGACAGTCTTCAGCTCTAAATTTGGCTCCATGAAGTCGTTTTCTAGGTTAATAGGACTGACTAGTCCATTTCTTTCATGTCCGTGTTTAATCAGGAGGAGCTGAAGGAGTGGGATCAATGCATATTAATGCTTGACGATGCCAAAGTGGATGAACATGGGAATCTGAATGACACAAAGGATTCAAATATCATGTACTTGGATAAAGATGGCGAAGATCATGAGATCAATGTAAGATTCTCTCTCTTTCTCTCTCTCTCTCCCCCTCACCCCTTTGTTAACATTGCAATATGAAAACTTGGCTGGCAACAGTTTTTAATGGTCTACCTTTAGACACTACTATGGGTTTATTGTACTACTATCTTTGTCTCTAAATTGGTTTCATTGTAGTATTTATCTGCTTAATTCATTTGCCATACTGGGTATCTACAGTTGGAGTCTATGAATATCTGAGTTTTCATTGTTGATGGCATGTTTCATGCTCTTGAACATTTATGCTTGTATAAGTTTCTAGTCATGAAATGTGTTATTCCTATCTTGCAACAGATATCTTCTGCAATATGCTTTTTACGAGGTAAGGCATATGAAGCATTGGAAAACCGTGTCCAGGCCCGGCATTGGTAAGTTGTTTCTGTGACTTGGCCTTATCATGTAATGTCTTAAGGGGTGTGTGTCTGTTTCAGTGTGTTTTTGGGTAAAATTAATGATATCCTCTCTAGTTTTTAACTTGACGAGTTGTAAAAATCAAACTAAATGTTGATCTTATGGATAGAGAATAATATGATTTCTGTAGGTGTGACATCTATTGAGAAAAGCATATATTTGGAACGGATCCTTTAACGTGTTCTTTTTGCTCTAATTCTTTCAAGGTACAAAGCTGCTATCAAAGCTGATCCCTTATGTTATGAGGTATGTATTCGATCTATTAGCCTACCAAAATAATTTCTTGTCTTCTCTAACATTTATGGCCACCAAAAGCGGGGAGGGGAAATAGCATTCCCTACAAAAGGATTAAAATTTCTAAAGTAACAAATTAAGAAACTGTTTTATCATTCCAAACATGCTTACAATAATGGAATCTTCTATCACTTGATTTTTTTAAAGGTTTTGCAGTAATTCACTTATGGAAGCATTACTCACAAGTTAGATAGAATCATTTTTGTATGGGGAAACAAATTTCATCTGGAAAATAGAGAGACCCACGTGAGAGCGTTAGGAAAAACGTTGAGCTCTATAGCATTTTCATTGTCATCCTTCAAACATTTTTCTAATCTCTTTATTTTTTCCTTTTTCAGGCATTGGAATGTCTTATTGAAAATCACATGCTTACATATGAGGAAGGTTAGAATCACCAAAATAATACTTATCTTTTAATCATGTGTGCTTGTTATTGAAGTAAGTAACATCATGGATTTTGATACTATTTCTATGTAATTGCCGAAATCTAATTTAGGCTTCTGGTACTTTTATATTTTTGTTGATCCATAGATTGGATTGTAGTGTTTCCTCTGCATTTCTTAAAAAATTTATTCCACTAAGGATGGGATGGTTCCCTTCTTAAACCTTTTGATTTGCTGCTGAGTTTCAGAGGCAAGTCTACTTGCGTCATTACAATTTGGTCCTGAAGATGGATGGCTCTCATCATTCTATTCATGCTTAATTAAAAAGGTAAACAGAAAGCCATTTCAATATGTCAGACTTCAAATATCGAACATAGAGAAGACATCTTACATCTGAATAATTTTTTATTATTAATATAGATCACTGTACAAACAT